TGCACTGTCACTGCCCCATGATCCTGGCCTTGGCCCCACCTACCTGTCCCACTCCTGGACACCACTCCTCGCCCGCCTGTGGCCCCATCCCATCCGCCCAGCCAAGTGTGCCCTGCCTGCATGGGTCCTGAGCTGGTCTCCCTGGAGATCCTGCCTGCTTGTTCACCTGCGCTGTCTGGTGCTCCTGGCAGTGGGTGTGGCATGGTCAGCCCCAGGGCTGGATAGGACCAACTGGCCCCAGCCCCTTACTCCCCGGCTGTGCTGGGTGGTATAAACAGGTGTGGTGGGAGGCTGAGGCTGGGTCAGCACCCCTACCCCCTCCAGCCCCCAATAGCCCACCAAAACTCCTTAAGTGGCTCTCCAGTCCAAATAATTTCCCAACCCTAGCCTAGTAGGTTTTCTTAGAGACCACTTCTTCTCTCTTATATGTAAGGTGACCATATGTCCTGGTTTAGCTGGGACAGTTCTGGATTTCAGAGGCTGGTTTCAGCCAGTTGCTGAGAATTATAATTTATGTCCCAGAAATGCAGGGGCACAGGGTGCAGTTTGGCCAGGAGTCAGAGTGGCATAGAGCACCTTTCAGGTGGGCAGGCAGCCACCAGTATTTGCCTGGCACACTGCCCCCTGCCCTCCTCCTCCCGACTTGTGAGACTGAGGGGGGTGGGGAGCAGTGTCCCAAATGAATTTCCCACATTTCCTTATGGTCGTCTCCCCATGGTCATCTCTACTTACATGGTCTCTCACTCTCTCCAGTATTTGACTATCTCCCAAGCATTTATAGAACCAACTTCACAATGCCATTGTGAAGTTGGGAGTATTATTTTTGGTCTGTTATAGATAAGAGAACTAGATTAAGAGACTTTCACAAGATTGCACAGGAAGTATGTTGCTAAGCTGCAAAATGATCTCAAAATCCAGTCTAGTAAAGTAACCACAAGACTACTTCTTGATTGCCATGTCATCAGTACTGGAAAGCTCAGAAGTGATAGAGGAGAAAATGAAAAGGTTGTAAACTTAAAGATATGTATGCATTGTGAACTTCGAAAAGTGGATCAAAGTAGTAAAAGTATATTCACATAAGCAAATAAAAGTCCACCACCACAGAAAATTCTCTTTAAAATTCCACACCTGGATTTCACCTTCTTGGTAGGATTCTGAGTACAGCAGGTCTAAAATTTGATTAAGATCCCTGCCAAATCCTTTGCCAGCCCACTGCTTACTGAGCAGAGTTTTTAATCCTAGGTGAAAGAGAAAAAAAGTTAGTATGTTATATTGCTCAAGCGAATATTTAATTTCAAGATTTCAAACCCGTGACCATAAAATTGACTATCAGAGGATCAAACATTATTGTACATGTGACTGACTGCAAAGAAACATTAAATCAGGCCCCAATGTAAAGGCAAGCAGTTACCTTTGAGTTTCAATGTAAAACATTACTAATGATTAGCTGGTGTTGCCATCATTGCAAAACTGTTGGGTGAGGATACAGATTTGTAGTCAGACTATCTAAAGTTACATCTATGTGACTGCCAGATAAAACTATCAATAGGTTTTTCCATGTCTGATCATCAAGTCAGTAAAGACCTTTGAAGATAAAGCACTGCATAAATGCTAAGCGTCATGAGAACTGCTTCCATATTTACCAGAGCAACTTGTTTGCTCAGGACTGAGAGGACATGTATATACACACATATTAATGTGACACAATAAACTCTGGTGCTTATCGTGCTGAAGTTTGTTGCTTCTGGGCACCACGTTTACACGTATGCCCAGGACTGCAGCATGTTGAGCTGGGTCAGAGCAGTTCCAGATGGCAGGGGGCCCCGGGATCAGCTTCCCCATGGGCTGCTCCAACCCGGCTCAACATGTCATGGTGCGGGCTGGCTGAGGCATGAAGGGCTAGCTGGCAGGCAGCCCCCTGCACTGAAGCACCCTCATGTCCCAGCCAGCCCCAATAGCATCTACATATGCACTACTTCAGAGTAAAAAACTCTGCAGCAGGATAGTACTTGTATTTACAAGTACTACACTGATGCAGTGTTTATTAGTTTACTCCAGCCTAACTGCCCTGCATGTGTAGATGCTAAGACCTTTACTGAGGAGCTAATTAGCCTACTGTGCAGTAAACGTCTCATGTAGACACACCCAGTGTAATTCATTCCTAACACAAGAAGTAGAAAGACAAACCTTTGTAGCGGGTACTAAGTAAGTTCACGAGGTGGGGGTGAGATTCTGCCACTAGCAGCAACGATTTTGTAGCAGCATTTCCAATGACAGGATTGGTGGTAGATGAAAGCTTATATATAAGTTCATCTAAGATAGAGTGAAGAATCTTCTCATCTACTTGAAGCAAAACAGCACTAATGAGAAAAAAGAAGAGACAGAATTAGGGATGTTACATAGTATGCCTATTTCAATAACAGCTTCATTCTTTGGAGGCTTTGGCACTAAGTTATTTGGAATACATGACTTGCAGAACCAATAATCTGATCCAGTATAGGAAAGAGCAGGAGAAGGAGGAGTCTTTTGCAGTTAGGTCCTTCTATTCCAATGTCTCTCTAGCTAATGTTGGATTTACATTTCCTATAGGTATAGTTGTGATGCAGGAATGAAAGAGACATTTTGCTTAATTGCTGTCACCTTGAGAGAGATCTTGGCGAGTTCAGTGCTAAAGCACTTTTCTGTGTCAGAGCCATAGGACACTTTTACATGTGCTCCAACACATTCTGATTAGAACGTGTCAGAGCAGACTCGATCCATCGAGCCTGCTGGAGTGTTCTAACTAGAATGTTCCAGTGCGCTGCAGCATTTTTTGTGTATTCAGCATCCTGCATTTCAAAATGGTGGCGGGGGGCTTTAACTAAAGCTTGAACCAGCTTTAGTTAAAGTGCCCTCACCATCATTTTGAAATGCAGCATGCTGAATACACAAGATGCTGTGGGCATCTGAATTAGAGCAGCTCCTAAGAGCCACTCTAATTAAAATGCTCTCCCCCCCGATACCCACCAACCTGGAGCACATGTACAGGCACCCATAGGGACCTTATGGACCCATTCTTTACTCAGACACACTGATCCCACTACTAGCAATTGTCAATTTACGTTGCCCTTTCCATCTTCAAAGCACTATGCAGGAAAAAATATACCTTAAAATACCCCTCTGTGGTAGGCTGGTGAATTCTGCTTGCAGAAAAGTAAGCTGGAGAAAAGAGAGATTACTGACTTGTCCCAAATCACAGGCGACTCAACAGCAGCCAGGACTGTAACTGAGGACATATTTCAGTTCACTGAAATCTATCATTACTGGAAGAATTAAACAAAACAAAATATTCCCAAAGCAATGTAAGGATATAGAAAACTGTCTATTTTGAGACGTCAACAGCAAAAGCTCAAGCTATTACAAGACAGAGACAGCACGAGTTCTGTATACAAATGCTTCTATTTTCCAAAAAAATCAGTATCAAGTGGATTTTTAAATGTCAAATTCAAAAAAGGAAAAATGAATAGAATGATTTGAAAGTAACAAACCTGTTGACCCTCAAAATATTCCGTAATACAGACATCATTGCGGTTGCAGTTTCAACATCATCTGTCATCAGCAACTGCAGGAAATGATCATTCTTCAGCACTGTAACAAAAAAAACAAAGAAACAGAAAATTAAGGAATAGTCAAAGCTGTAGATTTAGAGTCAAATAGCCGGTCCTTTTTAAGAACTACAGTAAATTCACAGAATTATAAAGCAATTTCCAAGCAAGTAAAACCAGGATCACTGTGTTCTAAGTTAATTGTTTTTTTGCAATTTTTCTGCTGAAACAGATTGGGAAGAGTAAAATGCATCAGTAACCAGAGGTTTTGCTTTCACTGGGTTTTTCTGGTGCTGGTGGAAATTCCTGAATACTTGTGATGACACTGTAAAAAAGTTTCAAGTACAGGAAGCCACAAAAGTCAAGTTTCTTTTAAGAGTAGCGTACGCGTCTCAGACTCATCTGCCCAGCCAGACCAGACCCAGGCCCAGCAGTGCAGCAAGCAACATCATTTGTCCCCCACTGCTGACATGCATCCCCAATGGTGCTCTATTTCCCAGATTTTGGCAGCAGGGCCCCCTGTTCACACTCACCCCAAGTTCCCAGCCCCTCTAAGAGCCCCACAAACCAGATAACAGTTCTGTGGCTGGATCTGGCCCATGGGCTGTATATTTGACGCTCCTGCAATAGTGTATGAGGCAATACTTTTTAGTAGCTAGGTCCTTGAACCTCAATCTCTTACATCAATGCAACTCCATCGACTTCCGTAAAGCTGCATCTCTTTTACTCCAGTAAAACAGACTTGAGAATCAGACCCGTTATTTTCATTTCACAATTATTCAGTTAATTTAGTTTTTTATATATATTTAAATTTTTACACATATCACACATATTGCATTTTTTTCCACGATTTTTTTAAATACTGACACAGGAGAGAGAGGGGCACAAGAGGTGAAGGTGTCTTGCTGTGACCCCAGAGGTATGAACTGAGCCTTGACTCAGAATGAGAAAAGCAGCTGGATGTGATGCAAGCCACATCACCCCCTGCTGTGCTGGTGACTACAGAAACTGAAGGGTCATCTGGGCTAAGGTAGATCTCTGACCTTTTCTGACAAAACCAAATTCTGCTGTCTGGTTAGTCAGTGGAATTTAAAATGGGTGTTACTGAGAGCTGATGCTACAGTTCCATTTTGTTAGATATTTGTGCACTGTACACCCTGTCAAATTTATCCTCTTGTATAAAAGAACAGACGGTACAATGAGACAAACTCCTGAGCCCATGCACAAACCATTTAAGAAGGGAGAGGTGAATGTCCAAGCTATATTTTACGAGGAAAAAACCCTCTGATTTTAAGACAAATAATTACTAGACAGGCTGTGGGAGAAAAAAAGCTGTATTTGATGTGGCCAAAACCATAATAGAACATGCTAATTTTCTTTAATATTTGCTTTTTTAATGACCAATGTTGTTGTTATGTTATATGGATGTCTCTACAACAGATTAAAGAGACCAATTTAAAATATATGACAAATAAGCATTGGTAAAAAAAAAACCCGGCTTCATTGCAATTACATTAAAATTCACAACTTTCATAGATATGTTATGATGCATTTAATTCCCAACACTTTCTCTTACCGCACTCCATTAGCTGAATATGCCCGCCAAACAGCCAGCAGATGGCATCGGTTACTATCCTGAAACAGCGTAAAAATTCACTTTTTTCTTCATCCTGAACAAAAGAAACCGTGTACATTATACCTACATGCATAGACACATACACACTTCCCTGTGGACTGTGTATTCAGATGGTGGGAAGACTTCTGTGTTCTAAAGAACCTAAGAGCTACATCAACAGAAATTTTAACCCCTAATAGAGCTTCCCATGCCAGACAAATTGAAGGAAGGGGCTAAATAAAAAGTAGCCTGCTAGTCCTCCCTACTGGGAGATAAGTCAAAAGCAGCAAACCGAATAAACATTTAAGTTCTAGAAACTCAACAAGGCAGCCATACTGGCAAACATCATTATGGACAAAGGGTGGAAGGGTCCTGTTCATTCCCCAAACAATGTCTAAAAGCCCAGAGGTTATGAGAAGATAATATAGCCCCTTTAAATACATTTGGCGGTAGATGCAGAAGAGGAAAACATGTCATTTAAGATAAATTACAATACTGCATAAGAAAAAAATGGATACATATTGGCCAAGAGTATACTTGGCCAGGAAATTACAAGAAAGTCCCCGACCATTAGCATATCAAGATTCTGGGACAGCCTTTCAAGGGTAGCAGGTAATAACAAACATAAATTTTATGATGGAGTTTCATCAGATTATGAAAGGGACTGTATGATGTGCTCTGATGTGCCTGCCTGTGATAGCACAGGCCTGAACTCAACAAAAACCTAAGACACCCTTTCCCTATGCATCAAACTGAACCATGAGTAAAGAAATATTAGTAGGATGACTGAGGGAATAGAAAGGCTGTCTATCATGTGGAAGATGAGTTATTTAGACTGGCAAAACAAAGGTTGTTAAATACCAGGGAAGGAAAAGAAGTACTTAAACTAAAGACAATGGTGGCACAAGAATAAATGGACATAAACTAGCCATGGACAAATTCAGACACGAAAACAGAAGATGGCTTTCAGTCATCAGAAGGGTAAAATAATGAACCAGCCCCTGAATAGGAGGAGTAAGGCAAACTAGTAGATGGAGCTTAATCAGTTTACAACAGAGATTAGATGATGTGGATGCCCACAAAGGCGGGGACTGACCTAGAAAGTCCCTTCCACTCCTATGTTCCTATGATTCAGATTCACATGCGTCGTAGAGTATGGGCTATTGCGCACACAATCTGACAGTAAATCCTGTACTCAAGGCTTTGTCCACAATCCTCATGCAGAGTGTATCACTGTATTTGGCTCTTAGTGGCAACGGGAGATGCAAGATAACTTTACAGCTTGGCTGTTTAGTATATCTGCTACCTGTTATGTGAATACTGTATTTTCTTGCATACAACACCCACCTATTTCCCCCAAAACCTGGTTCTGGAAATGGTAGTACACCTTATATGTGGAAAAATATGGTACAACCAATTTCTGCCACTCTGGGCGAAATGGAAAGTAAAATCTGCAGCGACCCACAGGGAGCAGAACAACGAGCAGGCCTGGCTCTCTAGCTGCTGCCAGTCAGTTATTTCCTACAAGGAAAGATCTTTTTTCCCCTTCTGCCTTTCAAAAACAAGTTGCAGATCTTAATCTGTGGCATGCTGTACATGAGAAAATATGGTCTGTTGATTTACAAAGGCATTAACTCAATCTTCTGAAGTATGCATAGAGAGTAAGCCTAATTTTGATCTAATTTACAATGGTAATAGCTCAGAATAAGACTCGGTATATCTAGAATATTTAATTTACATGGTATTAAGTACGTGACTATCTTTGACAGACAGGCCTTTCCCAGTCCACTGGCAGTCAATACATGGCAAGGCAATTCAGAGAAAAGCAGTACCAAGGGAAAAGTTACTGGATGCTCTCCTCCCCAGCCTCATCCACACCCTCTTTAGAGGATCTGTTCTTTTCCTGATAACCCCCTGCAGCCCACATATATACAGGCATAATGAATGCCAAGGTTTAGAAAGAACATATGGACAGTGAAGGTCTCAGAGGTCTGAGGCAAGCTAGAAGTGTCACCTAGCCTTGAAGCTCTGTCTGGTACAATGTGATTCCCAAAACCCTGCAGAGTGAGGAGTCAGCTTGATGTTTGGCTCCCTCTGGACCACATAATTAGAGGTTTAAATTCTGGCCTACAGTCTATCTTGTGCTAACCCTCAAGAAAAATCCTCCACCAAAGTGGATGATTCAGCAGCATGTGGGCTGAGGCACATAATAAGAAAGTGTAGGGAAAATTACATGCAGTGGGTAGACTAAAGCCTTCAGTCTCCAAGGACGTTGATCAGAAAGCTTCCACAAATGCTGAATTGCACTTAAAAGAACCAAACTAACAGAATATGTCATACTGCTGATCCATAATCACTTCTCAGGAAGCATATGGTGTCCAACATAATACACTGTATGAAAACTCTGACTAACTGTGAGGAATGAATCAGCCAAAAGGAAGTGGGATGTGAAGGGGAAATGTTATATGAATAGAATCAATCAAAACCTGGGTGGTATAGGCGTTACTTCATTTATAATGGTATTATCTTCTGATCCTATGAACTCATAGTTTTAAAAAACCTGAGAGTTCTGTCATGCAATAAATGTCCTTCTGGAGCAAGGAAGTAGTGGTTCCCCCCTCTAGAAAAAGAGGCAAACATTTGAAAACTACCAGTTCAGAGAACTTCCATCTTGGAAATTTTGGCCAAATTCAGATTCCAGCTCTTCTGACTTTGAGCCTGGTTCCTCAAGGCCATCTTTCCAAATACGACCATTTTTGGGTTTGGGGTTTTTTTGCCTAGCTAAATAAAGTGCTAAGACCAAATCAACTGCCAAGGTGGAGCTCATTATTTTGAGAGAGTGAGTGAGTGTTAGGACTCTGTCATGACTTGTAGGCCCCCACATTGTTTTTGCTGGGCTTCTCTCCTTCTAATTTACAATTGTTTTCTTCCCCAGAATTACCTGTCAGTAGAAGCCAAGTGTCTCTGGGTAAGCCTACAATGATTTGTGCATGCAAGATGGAGGAAACGTTCTGTGACAAAAGATTATATTTTCAAGACTCCAAAGCAAGCTGTTAACTTCAACAGAAAGAGATAACGTAATTTCTGCAAAATACCTTTCTACAGTATGGCATATCTGTAGCCGAGGCCTGCTAATTCAGTAAAGGAGTTTAGAAATGTTGCCAAAAGGTTACAAAATGTTCATGCTGCTCACTTAACTGTGCAGTTCAAATACCTTGATTGCTCGAATAAACCGGGCTTGCAGACGTCTTCCCAAAAACAGGAGGTTCTGTGTAGCTGAAGGAAGTAATTTATCGTAAAACTCCTCTGGATTGTCTTTCACCTCTAATCCTACGCAACATTGACTGCAATGAAAAAGCACAATCTGAACTCGATAGGGTCTGTTTGAACAAAAGCAAGTGAATAAACATCACTACAGCATGCACGCCTTACTGGAACACCAACACCAAACAATAGTCAACTGTTGCAACTAGCTCCCAGATATCTACCTCAAAGAAAGCAGAAGCATTGGGTTGTGAGAGAGGGGATGGCACACCCTAGACTAAGCAACAGCTTGGGTAAATTGCCCATTTTAGCTTCAGGGGAGCTGTTCTTATCTGTTCCACATGTCTACATGCTGCAGGAACTGGCACTGTGAAACAACAAGAGAGATGGACTTATCAGGAAATGGAGGCAGGTTTTATAAATGAAAATCCCCCATAAAAATAAAAGCACTAAAAAGTTAACCCCCACACCAATTTGGGCTTTACTCTGCAACTTTCCTTTTTGTGAGGAATGCATTTGAGCTTAGGAGCTTGAGTTTCCAGTTTATAATTCAATATTTACCCCATATTACTACCTTTGAAGGAATATGTTTAGAAGAAACTTGTACTAGGTACATGGGCAATTTTTCTATTTTGCTTTGCACTACAGCTGGACAAACAGAAGAAAATAATTCATGATCTTTTGGTGAAGTTTGTTTTGCAATGCAACTGAACCTTGTTTTCCATTTGCCTCCCCTGAATGTATCCTGTGTGAGTTTTGTTCATCTGAAGGGCTCATGGAAAACAAATTCTGGGCATGCAGCTGGGATAGATTTAATTACAAAAGGGCCTGTTTTATGACTAAAATAAAATTGTTTTGCCTGGAAGCAGAAGTAGTTTATACAGGCTGGGTCATCCAATCTGGAAACAGCAACAGTATTCCATATTACTTTGATGATTCATTTTGCATCTCCTAGCAAACTCTGAATATTAAAAACTCTTCCTGAAGGGATGATAAAAATGAGAGCTAACTGCCCGATGGGTTAGGGAAATGGAAATACATTTTAAATTGAGGGGAGAGTAAAGAAGATGGAGACATTTCACAAAAACTCAAGGCTAAATCCAAATTATGAACTGTTCCCATCAAGCAGGTGGTCCAGCATACTGAAATACAATCTATATCAGGTCAACAGGACCAGTGGGCTTTGGCTTGATGTCACTGCTCATTTATGCTAACCTGGACTTTTCCTGGACAGCAAGCCTTGTTCTGGACAACAGCGTACATAGACCAGCTTGAAAAGAAAACAGTAAGAGGAAAGACTGAAAGGAGAGGAAGCAATCTGATAGCCACGTTGCATTTTACCTTACAACCTCTGCTAGCTGAGCAGCAGTGGCCCAGCCCCCCTGTAGTCGAGAGTAGTCTTGTCTCAGGACCAACACACAATACTGAATCAGATCATAGTAGTAGAGCTCCTGTTTAATTTTCTGGGACTGTTTACTTTCCAAAGAAACACTATTCAAAATTTCTGGGAAATGAAAGAGAGAAAAAGTTTGAGGGTCAGGAAAGCAATTAAAAAACAGCTATATTTCCAAATACAAAAGGCACATACCTAAAATCAGTAATGATGAAGTCAAATTTATATGTCTACAATTATTACAAGTAATTAAGCTGTTCTGCTTTCTAGTTACACACTCAAGAGACTACAGAAAGAGCATAAAGTGTATTTTACTACATAAAACATGCACTGAAATATAATATGCCCATTTTTGAAAGGCAGAACCTGCTCTTTCTGTATTTCTTGCATATTATGCACACTTAAAACTTCCAATAGCTGGTTTTTGGGGGGAAGAGTGTGTTGTATGTGAGCAAATATGATATATTATCTGGGATATAGGTCACATGAATTAATTTGCTAGTCCAAATAAAACCATGATGAATATTAACTGTGAGAGAGCTCTTGTTGGGTTGCTTATAATTGCAACTGAATATCAGAACTGGATACAGCTGGTCCCCACCATTTCTATAAGCTGCGGTAACACTGCTATAGTGGATCTCACTGGAGTTGGTGAGATGATTTGTTAGCTTTGTCTCCTGCTTGGTATCACCTCCACCCTTGCTAGCTACATGCGCTCAGCTCTCTCTCACATATGGGATTCTGACCTCTCTTCATCTTAATGAAAATTCTGATCAACAATCCTCCACCTTTTACATTAAAAATCTTTATTTACCTTTTAGCTTCAACAGCAACATGGGAACATCTTGACTGGAGCTCTCAGTGACCTGAGCAGCCAGAGCCAATATTCTGGGATCTATGGCTGCTGCCTTCATTCTGCATGCGTTTGCTGTAATTTAATAAAAGGAGACAGAAAACAAAAGCAGCTAGCAGCAAAACTAATATACATCACACCCTGAACTATTTACCAAAGGAATAATCAATTAAGATATTGTTCAGAGAAAAAGAACTAGTAAATCTGTACCAGGTATGTGCGTGCATATATATATACACTGTACGTGTGTGTGCACGTGTGTGTGCATGTGTGTGCGCGCACACACCCCCATTTGAAAATTGATTCTTAAGTGTTCTTGCAAGATTTCTAGCACAGGTCATACTGGAGAACAGGAAGGCTGAAGAAACAAGAACAACCTTTTCATATCATCTCATGACTATTCTCTTAATCAAAGTTTGACAAATCTGAAAGAATACAAAACTCATCAGTAGAAACAAACTCTTCAGACTGTCTACACATGCATATTCATAATGCACTGCCAACAGGAGTTGTGAAATAGAACAGGATAGGATGACTCATGAGACAGAAATAAGAATATTAAAACTAGCTAAAATAGGTTTGGTTCAAAACAAATAAAGGATCGATTTCAGTTCACATCCCCCTTCCATAATGAGGTGTAACTGGTGTAAAAGGGACAAGCCCCACTTGAGAATGCCATTCTACATGTTTTTTTTAAAAAGCTGAATATTAGTACTTGTCCTAGGCTCCCAATATGCTCCTGAACTCGAAGGAAGGAAGAAAAACAAGCTAGTTCAGAGCACTGGACTGGCAATCTTAAGAACTTGGGCCGGACCTGATGGTCTCGTGAGGTCCCTTCCAGCCCTAATGTCTATAAAATGTATGACACTCCTCACTTTGCCATAGACAAAGTGATCTCAGACAATTCACCTAACCTGTCTGTGATTCAACTGTAAAATGGGAAAATATTTCACCAACCCCTTGACACCCCCGTCCCCTTTTTAATGTCTTTTTTATTTAGGCCCCAGTCCTGAGATCTGCACAGGTTTGGACGATATGTCTTTGGTGCAGAAACTGTCTGTCTTCTTAAGGTGGGACCCTATGAACAACTCACCATGGGGTAAAACAGAGCGGGGTTTCAGCTACTCTGCGATTACTGCCCTTGTGTATGGTTTTACTCCACGGTAAGCAGCAGCTAAGCTGCAGCAACTTGTCCCTCAAGGAAAGAGCGACCAGAGGTTAATTTCCACGTCACGTCCACGCAGGCCTGGAAGCCTAGCACCTCCCCACAGATTTGGGGTCAGGAAGGAATTTCAGCCCATGGTCAGGCTAGTATGGACTGTGGGGGGGGGGGGTTTTGCCTCCCTCTGTAGCAGGGGCTGTGGCCACCTACCAGGAAAACTCGAGGGGATATTAACACCCTGCCCCAGAAGTGGGGCGTAGGCTGTCGTGGCTCCGCTTTACCTGTGGCAGGTCACGACGTTATGTCTCGTGTTGCGTCAGGGCTGACGGTCACCTCACCCAGAGTTTAGCTGATGGATGGTCTAGGAGGGTTTGGACGGCTTACCTCGGGCCGGGGCTGGACTAGACCTCGGAGGTCCCTTGCCGCCCTACAGATCTCTGTGCAAAATGTGGCTTGCAGGAACTTCAGTATCAGTCTCTCGCTCCCTTTGTTTGCCCCTTCATTCCTGGAGGAAGACGTACCCCACTTCCTGGCTTCAGCCCCCTCCCCAGGGGTGCAGGTCTATGCCGTGGCCTCTCCAGGATGGTCTCCTCCCGTGCAGGAAGCAGGGCGCTAGAGCACGCAGTCCAACATGCTGGGCCCCATCCCAGGCAGCACGCGAGCTGGAGCACGGCAAGGTGGGCACCTGCTGGGCGCTGTCGGGGGAGAAGAGACGCGTGAAGACGCCAGCGCCTAGGACCAGGCCAGCAGTATCACCCCACACTTGCCCACTGGCAGTGGCCGCACAGCAGCCCCCCATCCAGGCCTGATGCTGGCCCTTCCACCCCAGCCCCATGTGGGCAGGGCCCCTCCCCCACCC